CCCCCCTCCCCTGATCTACCTATCTACATGTAGCTATATGTATTTAGCTATATTGTTATATGTAATCCTGGGCATCTAACAGTTTGATATTACACCACTCTGTCTAGTCTGTTGTCAATCTATTATTTGTCCATTCCTATTTATACTATCTATTGTTCCATCTATGATCTATCCATACATGTATCTATCTATTGCCACATTGTATCATTGAGTACTGAACATTGGCCTAATAGAGTTTAGAGCGGATCCCACAGTCAATGTGCAGAAGTACTATGTGAGTAGGACATGCCAGTTGTAAGTAAGTTGTGGAATGACATAAGCAGAGAGCTCATTAGAATGCAGCGCCTCCAGAGCTGTGTGGAGAAGTTGTGTCACTGTCCATGGTGCTGATACTAAGGGACTCAGATGCAGTGTCTGGAATGGGCTAATGTCCTTACAGTTCAGTAGCAGAGTGTTTCATGGTATTGTACTGAGGGGGGTTCTTCTTGACAACTCTAACATTATGATACCAGAAAGGTCTTTTGATAGTGTAAAGAACCGATGATCTGTCTAGAAGAAAGTCAGGCTGGAACTCGGATATAGTGACACAATGTAAACACTAAATGGACTTCATTTATTAGAGCGTCTGAAAGAATAACAATTTTACCAGCACAAGCAATTAGATCTCAGCATTAATTTGGCCAGTGCCAGATTAAAAACAAAAGGGAGGATGAAGTAGATTGCTAGAGGCAACTTGGACAGTTCTTACTTCAGAAAGTTCTATAAAAATGGCCTACATTTGCTAATCATACCTAATATGTTTTCTGTGCACCAACTTGTGATGCATAAAACCGGTCGGGTTATTTAATAAGACAGAGGGATGTTAAATGACCGATAGCAACCCGTCATATTTAATCTTTTCTTTATCTGGGTACAGCGGACTGGTTTTCAGAACTCGCAACAGTTTTCACACTCACTCTCCTTCAGGTCCGTTTCAGGCAGGCGCTCCGGTCAGGTCTGCTTGTCAGTTTTTCAGATGGACCTGATCTGAAGTCCAATATAACTCTATGGGCAGGCGGATGTAAATGGATGTGCGTCTATTTACATCTGCTTAACCCCGACTCTGTCCAGGTCCAGAAAAACAGAGTTCCATTTTGGTGGACCTGACCATGACGGGTCGGGGTAATCTGATGTCAACGGACATGTCCTCTTACATTTGACTCTCGTGGGTGCATGGATCCCCTGCTGATCAGAACTGATGGTACAGTGTGACGCAGGCCTTATACTACCTCATTGGCAAAAACAGTACTTGAACTCACACAAGGTCAGAAATCCAAATAATCAAATATCACTCAGGATTCTTCGCCTTTGACTAGTCACCCAAAACTACACAAGCTGACTTCTCTGTTGGTTGATGTTTTATTATGTTTTGCTTATAGCAACAGAGATAATTGTGCAAGTCTAGACAAAGTGTAAGACCCCCATTCACACTGCGATTTGTAGCGCGATTTCCGCTCAAAAATCACTCAAACATGAAGCTCAATGCATTTCAATGGAGCTGTTCACATCTCACAGCTCAATGTCGCCTGTAGCTCAAGCTTGTCGCTCGAACATGACCTATTTTTCAGCGGATTTCGTGTGATTTGGCCCAATAGACTTCAATGGTGTGGCTCAATGTCGCTCATTACTGATGACTTTGCGTGATATTGCGCTACAGAAGTGTCCCTTTTGCACAGAAATATAAGCAGGAAACAGGATAAGGAATTATGTCGCATCAAGACCGCTTTTGATTGGATACAGCCCAATGTAGCAGATATGAAGTCCATGCCAAAAGTAGCGCTACTTAGCACGACAATATGTGCAAAGTAGCTCAATGTTGTTCAAAGTCGCTCAGCTGAAATCAGCGCTGATGTAGCTTTGTGTGAATGGGGTCTTGTCTTATGCAAGATCAATTGTGGATGACCACTGAAAACTGCTATCATCTAACGGTTTTTAGTTGTTGATTGTGATAATCTGCGACCAATGTGGGTCATTCTTGGTTGCATGGCCTGTGGGAATATAAATCACTCAGCAGTGGCATGTGCAGTTCAGGCCTTTACAGTGTATGTGAACCCTAATAATGGACTTCTCTTATTTGCTTCCTTTTGGCCTGTTAATTATACCACTAAAAGTGTTTTATTATATTGGTTTGATAGGTGCAAAAAAAACCCCAATCCAAACAACTATTGAAACCCTTCTAGTTCTTATCTAGAACTAAAGATTGATTAGCCTTTATGTTTTGGGGAACTGAGAGTGGGAGTGGTTGAGTAGTTTAGCAAAAGACACTGGGCCTGGCTGACAGCACTCATTCCACAAAAATGCTGCCTATTGTCAGCCTCTGCACCCAATTCTGTCAGA